CCCCCCCCCCCCAAGGGAAAGAAGCCCAATGGCCAGGGTTTTCAGCCCCACAAAGGGTTAATGCCCCATCTGGACACTGCAGTTTTCAGACCAGGGACCCCAACCCGGGGCTGGGGGGAGCAGGCAGCACACTGGGGTGGTCTGGGGCACCCCAATGACCTCACTCTGTGCCCAGACAAAGCCGGCAGCAGCGGCGCTCGCTCTCCACCTGTATGTAAATCCGCCCGCGGCAGGGATGCTGGCCGGCAGCCATATGGCCGTGCCGGCGGCACGCCGCGACCGGCACATCCCCTGCAGCTGAATACACCCAGCCCCATGGCTGCCCCGCTCCCACCATCTGCCCCCAGTTACACATTCACCCGGCACATCTGCCACAGCCAGGCTCTGCCAACGGCTGGGTGAAGCCACCGGCACAGCACTGGCATGAGGTGGTGGTGGGGTACGGGGGTATCTCGGGTGCACCTCTCCAGTAAGGGGGGCAGGCAGTGGGTACAGCAGGCAGAGCCCCTCACCCCTGCACAGGGCACCGCTGCAGAGCTTTGCCCTCAGCTGAACGCTGCACCCCCCCATCCCAACAGCACCCCAAGGGTCCCTAGGGAGGCGGGGGGGCTGTTGGGAGCCCAGGGGGGGTGCTCAGCACCCCGGTCCCATTGCACGGCAAGGCGGCGAGCTGGCAGCCAGCCGTCTCTGCCAGCGCAGCCCAGAAGAGGGTTTGGGCCGGCCGCAGCAAGGTAGCACCATGTGGGCTTCCTGCTTGCACCCGCTGCCAGAACCCTGCCTGCATCCCCGCTCTCCCCAGAGCAGGGTGGTTTCTCACCCCCCTAGAAGTAGATTTGGGGAGGGTGGGGTGGTGTGTGTGCACAGCTGGAAGCACAGCATCCCAGCAAGACTGGGAGAGGCTGGGACTGGGGCACTGGAGGCAGGGGAGAGCAAGGTGGGGGGGAGACTTGAGGAGGGGGACGGGGCACTCACACTTCCTCCAGCACCGCGGGGTCCTCCTGCGTGGGGGAGTCCAGCCCCACTCCTGTGGGAACAAGGGGCAGGGGTAGCACCGCGGGGGGAAGAAATTGGGCCCCGCTGGGGACCGAGCCATGCCCTGTCCCAGCACAGCACCAGCACTGCTATTGCAGGGCCCTTCACAGGATGCAGCTGGGCAGAGGAGCCCCCCACATCCCAGCTGTGCTTCCCCACTGCTGCTGGGGAGGGGACTATGGCTGCTGGTACCCACTGTGTGTCACGGGATCCCTCAGAAAGCCCCCCCAAGCACGGCAAAGGGATGGCACTGACCCTGGGAACACCCGTCCTGGCTAGGATATCCCACATCACCCCGACCAGAGACCCTGCTGGGGGGGTCCATGGCCAAGCCCCCAGGGGAGCAGGGCTGGGGGGAGGCTCTTGCCCATCGTCCCCCATAGGGAAGGGATCACAGTCGGAAGCGCCGTGAAGGAAGTTCCAATTTGAAGCCGGGGCGGGCTGGGCGCCTGGCGGGAGTGACTCAGAGCAGGGCCAGGAGCTGGCAGCAGAATGGGGCCCAGCTCCCACGTGCACCCCAAGAAGCCCCCAGCCTCAAATCCCCCTCCCCGCCTCACCAGCCGCACGAAGGGGGCCCTCTGCCCACACCTCCTCCACCCCGCTGCCAGGGGACACCCCCCCAAGCCCCCTCCATGCCACAGCTCCCTCTGCACGGCATCAGTCCCGAGGCGGGGGGGGCTGCAGCGGCGCCCCTCACTCACCCGCATCCGAGGACTCGGAGGAGACCGAGTCCCGGGAGGAGTCCGAGGCCACCGATTCTTGGGACAGGCTGGACCACTGGCTCTGGAAGGACAGCCCGGCGACCTTCCGCTTGGGGGTGTCCCAGTGGCTGCGGGCAGAGCGGGGAAGAGGGTCAGCCCGCGGCACCCCGAGGTGGGCGAGGAAGCAGGGGCTGAAGTGGAGGGGAGGGGGGGTGCCAAACGCCCTATGCCCCCTCCACAGCAGGGTGCTCAGCCCCGCGTGGCTCAGGGCAGCCCCCCCGGTCCCTGCCCCGCTCACCTGCCCAGCCCCGCCAGGTTGTCCATGTCCAGCGCCAGCGTGGTCACCGGCGACAT